TTGATTAGCTCATCAACTGTTGTATGATTTTATTCATGCAATACTAAACTTCATTTTAGGAGCAAACGTATGAAGAAGGCCTTACTTATTTATTTTCTGATTGTGTCTATTATAGTGATCGATTTGTAAACAACAGCCCATGGAAACATCACTTAATTCATCTCAAATAAATAATACATAAGTTTAATAGATGGAATTCGATTAGATAACCTGTATCAATCATTGTAGATAATAGTTTTATTTCAAGGAGACCTCAAGTATGCATAGATTTCGAAATGTCTGTGTTTGGTGTCATGTGGTGCATGGACAGAAGCGCGAGTGGTCAGAAGTGTTGGCCGTGTCATGTACGAAATATAGGTAGGAGCCGATAGATAGTCGTAAGTATGTAGGCTTCATAAAGCAGACTATTTACACATTGATCTTTGATAAGAAACTATACCAACCTAATAATTCTATTCAAGAATTCTAATATGAAAAGTAGACAAAATCGAATAACATGTTAAACAATTCCAGTTGCAATTTGAGAATGAAATTCACTCTCGTGAATAATAATGTGACTGTAGTTAAAATAGCAAAATCAAATATGAAAATGTAAACTGATAACATGTGAACAAATCGTTCTGCTCTCTCACCGATAGAAGCCTGAAAGCACTGGACGGCCGATACACCCTGATTCGGTACTCATTAATTTTGCACTTGTTGGTAGCTTTATGCACATTTGATTCGCTTTTTTTCAACAATCTGCTGTGAAGATCTAACTGAATTCATCTTTTTGGTTAACGCAACTCTTGTTTTATCTACACTAATCAAAAAATCAACTAGATGCCATAATTCTTGAGGCAATGAATTTCTGGAACAATTAGGTTGCATCATAGTACTGACAATTCGTTATTCAGATGTAAAATTATCTGGTTATCGAAGTTAGATATCTGTGGTAGCTTCTGCATTGATGGGTAAAATCTAAGTCAAGTCTGTTGACGTCCTCTCCGTGTGGCATTTTCTGTCATCACCACCAGGTATTGATTGCCGCTGGCCGTCTGCGAGAATGGTCCCATCACATCCACTGACCATAGATCACCAACTGCTGTTACAGGAACTGACTGTGATGGCGGCTGTATGTATCGATCACTTTTCATTAGTTGGCACCGCTGGCAAGTCAACACATACTGCGCCACATCGTCTCTCATTCTTGGCCAATACGCACTTTGTCTTACTAGATCAGTCGTTCGTGTGATACCTGTATGAGCCACCTGGTGACACTCCTGTATCATCATATGCCGCAATTTCTTCGGGATCACTGCCACGCAATTTTCATCATCATCTCGCCAAATCAGGGCTCCATATGTGCTGATCCAGAGTCTCTCCTTTTGTCGAAGCAGCATTAATACCTCATTGTTCATCTGTCGTTCGTCAATATCTGCGCCTTCTTTTATCACTCTGATCACCTCTCGAAGGCTAGGGTCAGCCTTTTGCTGCCGGACAAGTTCTAGTGGGTCTCCGTCAAGGCTATTCACTACGTATGCTGTCATTGGTAGCTCAGCATCCATCTCCGGCCTCGATAGGTAGTCCGCCACTAAATTTTCTCTTCCTGGAACTTGGCCGATACTGAAGTCGTACTCCTGCAGACGTATCATCCATCGCGCCAACTTACCACGGGGGTCTTTTGCTGTTTTCAGCCACTGCAGGGGTTTATTATCAGCCTCGACGTGGAACCGTCTACCTAGCAGGTATGGCCTCCATTTTGCTATTGCGCAGACAATCGCTAAACACTCTTTTTCGATCGTTGAATACTTCCGCTCAGACGGTGTGAGAACGCGACTTGCATATTCTATCACACTGTTAGATTGACTTAAGACGGCGCCTATTCCACGGTCACTCGCATCTGTTGCCACTGTAAACAGTTTTTCAGGTTCAGGTAATCGTAGCGTCATCCGGCGGTGGTCTAATAGGTTTTTGATTTGGTCGAACGTTTGCTGGGCAGTCTCTGTCCACGTAAACTTAGTGTCGCTTAACAACTTATAGAGGGAAGCTGCTTCTTCGTTCAAGTTCTTGAGGAATCGACTGTAGAACGCCGCCCTTCCAAGAAACTGTCTCAGCTTCCTTTTGGAATTAGGTACCGCGATGTTCGTTATGGCTAGGATTATCTCTGGCAACGGTTTTATTTCTCCATTTCCAACTTTATGCCCCAACAAGATGACACTACTTTTCGCTATTTGTGATTTGTCCTTATTAATTCGTAGTCCGAATTCTTCAATCCGCTTTAGGACAGCTTCCACATGGTTAACATGATCCGCTTCGGTTCGGCTGTACACCACTACATCGTTGCCAAACACCTCAACATTCTCTAGGTTTTTGAGCAGCAGCATCATTAATCTCCTGAATATGAACGTTGCACCTGCCAACCCTAACGGCATTCGTCTGAACTTGTACTGCTTATCACGTACAGTAAATGCTTTTTTATTTCGATCACTCTCTTTTATCGGCAGTTGCCAATATCCTAATCGTAGATCCAGTACTGTGAACAGTGTGGCGTTCTGTATTTTCCGTTCGGCTTCTTCACCAAGAGCACTGGTGAGCTATATGGGCTGTCTGCTTCTTCAATTATGACTTCGTTCAACATCTCTTGTATCTGTCTTTTCATCTCCGCCCCCAAATGTACAGGCACCCGACGTGTTGTAAATATGCTTACTTGCTCGTTCTTTAGTGGAATTTCGTGTTTTACTTTGTGGCAAAATCCGTACGGTTTTCCGTCTCCCGTGAACAGTTTCCTGCACTTTGCCCACAACTCGTGAATATTTCGTTTTTAATTCGTCGTATGGCGTATCTGGGCCCGGTTTAGCTTAAACATAGCGAACTTTTCCAGCTACTTCGTCCAGGAGCGGTGCACATGCGTATGTTTGAGATCAGTGTTATCATAAGACGCTTTCCTCAAGTCAGCGTATTCGCTTTGGAGCGATTTATATGGATCGTTTTTGTCTCTTGACACAACTAAATTCATAGATTCGTGGTCAGTGATTATTCCTCTTATCACCACTCTACGGTCTCTGCTCAAGAGTTGGTTTCGTCGAGAATCTACTAATAAGTTGAAATTCTTTAAGAAATCAATACCGATCAAAGGTACCGACACATCTGCAATAACAAACTCCCATCGAAGCGAAATTATTCGACCGAAATCTAAAGTTATTTTTCGCTTTCCGTATGTTTTTACGTCGAATTTGTTTGCTGCTTGTAGTGTTAGTGCCGTATTAATATTTCGTCGTTCATTACTCACTGGTGGCATGACGCTTATTGCAGCTCCTGTATCTACTAAAAATTGGGCACCTGTTATTCTGTCCTGAATGTAAAATAGACAACTGGTTTTTGGTGTTGCGCCAGTTGTCGCAGCCGTTACCTGCAACCGGTGGGACCGTTTACCTGTTGTATTATTTTGAACCCGCATGGTGGTCTGCACTTTCTAGCTTGGTTGCCGTAAGTCTGGTGATACCGGCATAACGTAGGTGCTGCACCTGTGTGAGAGCGTGACCGAGATTTGTCGCGAGACCTACTTTGTGATCGTCTTTTTGGTCTCCCTCTCAGATTTAGCTTGGAAAACATTTGAGATAAATGGCGAATCTCTTTTTTTCAACCTTCGATTTCAGTTTTACCTGTGGTATGATGTATCTGTGGACTTGATGTTTCCATTCTTTCGTAGATCTTATCAGCTATTTCCGCAATATGATCTGTATCTACTTCTCTATCTTCAATTGCTAGGATTTGCTGAATAATTTGCGGGAGTCGTCGGAGCCACAATTGATAAAACATGTTATTATCCATCTTTCTGTCGCCCAATAAGCTCCTCATGTAATTTTTTAGTTGCGACGGAATCTTGTCACCAAGTTCTACTCGATTGAGGAGTTGGTGTAGGGCTTGTTGGTCGGTCAACGAGAAGTCCTTTATGACAGCAGTTTTTAATTCGTCGTATGGCGTATCTGGGTCCGGTTTAGCTAAAACAACGCGAACATTTTCAGATACTTCGTCCAGAAGCGGAGCACATACATAGCCGAATTTATCTCGTTGTAATTAAAGTCCACAGTAATAAATCGAATGGAGACGGAGACGTATTCCTTTGAAGTCGTAGGAAACGGCGTTGTGTTCTTTCAAACGGCTCACCAATTTGTTGTGGGGTTAGACATGCGTTATCTTCGATTTCCCGTAGATTTCCGTCTTGATGATCTCTACTAGAAAACACGAGTCGTTGCCACAATTTCTTTATTATTCAAATTATTTAATGGTCGATACAAATATCGGATTTAATTCAAATATGTATAGTCGAAATTGACATCGAATTATTCAAACTGTTAATCGATACAGCTAGTCAAATAACTATATGTGTAGGTGGCAAGTAATGCCCAAGCGTACATGGGCATACAATCTCCAAAATCTAATCCGACATGGAAGCCGGCACTATAACGAAATCTACACAAGTAAACAAAGAAAAGAATTTGGAAACCTATGTATCCGTGAGTTTTGTTTTGTATAATTAGTATTGCAGCCCACTCTAACATAACACACAATTTTAGCAAGAAAACATCTCCAATTAGGGTTTCACAGTTAACAGGCAGTTTCAATACTTATGAATAACAATAAAGATGTATATAATGCTTTCATCTTTAGCTTGTCATATCGGTGATATAGTCTAGAATGACATATTGAATACACACAACGCAGACTAACTGAAATACATATCTAGATACAATCACTGCGACATAATCGATCAGGCAGATATTTTATCATTTACGGTATTGTTTCGTATTATTTCGAGAACATCAGTAAACGTATTATGTTATATTTTGTGATTTAAACATAAAGAAACTCTTATCCGTACTTGTTTATTCTTTCACTGTTTATAAATACTAAACCAGGATGGAATGGTGTCAGATATGCTACCGAATAGCGCCAATTTGTCTACCGATTCAAAATGTTTGCGAAATTCATTCAATATAGGAAGAGGAAACGTTCAGATGTTCAACGAAGCAGAACAGCATCAACAATGTGATTACAAATTGAATTTGAAAACCAAATGCGATTCAATTTTACTCCAGAAAACTCTAAATACCACTAAAAATGAGAATTCAAATTTCAACATACAACACACTGACTCTACTGCTCATAACAACGAAGCAAGAGTGAAGTCTGTGCAATCTGATAACAACGAAGTAATCAAAATCATTTCCTCTTTGGATGGACTACATCCGTGTAATGTTGTACAGAGAAGTCAGATTGAAACATTTCTCGATGATAATGATTATCGAAATGAAGGTGTCAGTATGTCAGCAAACCATGGTGGTATAAAACACAGCTTGGACGATGATCTATCAAATACCAACACCGTCGGTGATCAAAGTCTTCTACATTTAGCAGCTCATATGAATGTAGGACACGATATCATAAACAAAATCTATCATAATGAACATGATCAAGGACCTGTTGGTATTTTCTATGTTGATTCATCAGGTAGAACAGCTTTGACTAGAGCTGCTGCTGCTAATTCTTTAGAGTCAATCAAGTCGTTATACCAACTTGAAAAAGAAGCTATGGTGAAAACGAAACCAGTGAAACCTGTCAAGTCACAACACATCACTAAACCGAAACCAACATATCGTTCAAGAAGACGTTATCAAATTTATGAATCTCGACAATGTTCACCAATCATAGTTGCTATCCAAGCAGGGAATGATGAAGTAGTGAAGTGTCTATTGGACGAAGGTTGTCCTTATAACACTGTTGATCAATACGGTCGTAATGTTGTACATTGGGCAGCAGTAACTAATTCCGTTAAAATATTATCTCGTTTAGCACAGTGTAAAGGATTTGCTAGATTAATGAATATGAAAGATGACTGGGATAGAACACCGATCATGTTAGCTGTACGTGAAGGTTGTCAGGAAGCTGTGCAATTCCTTCTGGATAAACAAGCAAGAATCGAAATCACAGACTGTATGGAAAATGATTGTGTATCATTATGTATAGAAAAAGGCTATCAGAGAATACATGAAATACTGATAAATTATAACCGGTCAAGAAACTTCGACACAAAGACAATAACACCTGATAAGAAAGTGAATATTTTCAATGAAAATTCAGATGTGAGTGAACAAGAACTAGGATTGTCATCAATGGCAACGGTCACCACAGTGATGACAACCACACCAGTACGCCATTCAGCAGAGAACATTTGTCGTATGAATGAATTTGAATGGGTGAGTTTAAGTGATGATTCAGTTTCGGAAGCGTTCAGCGATTGTGATCCGTTCACAGAAGACGTGAATGCGCATTGTAGTTGATGTAGAATCTGTCACCAACGATGAATACTGTTTACTGCAACCAACATAGTTTTGATTATGTGTTCCACACATCTTTTGTATATGAACAGAAATGAAGGTATAAAATGAATACTGGATGCAGTTGATTGTAGAGTAATTTTATTTATTCAGCTCTGTGTGTGTATAAAACTGTATTCAAGTGTGCAAGTATTAAATCACTAGAAAATGATAAACTATTATGAAGAACTTGTATATTTTTGTATTTTCGTATTGCCCCCATCAATTTTCTATGTTTACATGCAATTGTTTGTACAATAAATTTGTATTTATAAATGAATGCGGTTTGTTGTTTGCTATTTAGTAAACTGAGGGTGATATGGGAACCGTTTAGACCAGTGTTGAGTTGCTTTCAAGAGTACATCAGTGGTGCAAATTCACTACTTTCTGATTAGCTTTCTTGAAATGATCGAAATTTACTAGTCATTCTCGTCAAATTCTATTAAATTTTTGATGAATTTACATAATGTTACTTCTTTTTGTGTATCAGTCATACTACTTACTAATACTTAGTAGACTATGTGTTTCTAGTCATTTTAAAATGTGCACCAAACGACGTCCCTTTCGTGAAATATGCTGTTAACAAGCTCCACTAACATTAGTTCTGCAATATGAATGAAATCCTCCATTCAACAGTTCCCGAATCAACATCTTACGAACGTCAATATTTTCAATTGTTCGTCCTTCCTTAACATAATGAAACGCATTACTCCTACAATGATTTATAGTATTTTATCATAAAATGAAAACAATTCCAAACTAATATCAGTAACATTCATTCAATACTCACTCTGTGTATAAATGAATTAACAATATCGAATGAATCAATGGATTTGTCAGACAGAAGAAAAACCTTCACTATTTAGATGTATACATTGAAAGAGTATATATCAATTAGAGTAGTCAGAACATGAAAAAAATTTGCTAGTACACATTGTGACAATCTGTTCCAGAATTGAATCATCAATGTATATGAGCAGAGCAATCTGTTCACATGTTATCAGTTTATATTATCATATTTGATTTTGCTTTTTTAACTACAGTCACATTATTGTTCTTAAGAGTGAATATCATTCTCAAATAGCAACTGTAATTATTTTACATGTTATTCGATTTTGTCTACTTTCCATATTAGAATTCTTGAATAGAATTATTAGGTTGGTATAGTTTCTTATCAAAGATCAATGTGTAAATAGTCTGCTTTATGAAGCCTACATACTTACGACTATCTATCGGCTCCTACCTATATTTCGTACATGACACGGCCAACACTTCTGACCACTCGCGCTTCTGTCCATGCACCACATGACACCAAACACAGACATTTCGAAATCTATGCATACTTGAGGTCTCCTTGAAATAAAACTATTATCTACAATGATTGATACAGGTTATCTAATCGAATTCCATCTATTAAACTTATGTATTATTTATTTGAGATGAATTAAGTGATGTTTCCATGGGCTGTTGTTTACAAATCGATCACTATAATAGACACAATCAGAAAATAAATAAGTAAGGCCTTCTTCATACGTTTGCTCCTAAAATGAAGTTTAGTATTGCATGAATAAAATCATACAACAGTTGATGAGCTAATCAAACATGCAAACCGACATCACATTGACTTATGCACTCAATTTGTATTGAGCATTATGCATAAAACGAATATTGTTCTCGTTGTATACGAGGATACCCTAATCGACATGCACAAATATCAGCATCTCATTACTTCGACTGTAATTCACAATTCTCACATGTTCAATTCGCATCATGTTGTTGTCAACACAACACTTCAGGCTGTATCCATTCAACGCAGCAGTTGTGGAACACAAGTGAACACAATTGACAATGAGTAAATATTTATTGAAGAGTTGAATGAGTGGGTGAACACAATTCTAGTGATTAGGCATAAAACATGTGGATATTGTGATGTTGTGTAGAGCCGATTGATGATGAATGAAGTGACGATAATCGATGGATGTTGAACTGAATGACGAGCAGATTTGGCTCACTTCGATCGGTCATCTATCAGTAGTAGCGGTTGTAGTAGTTGTAACGATGGTTCGAACGAGGGTGTCCTCCACCGCCTCCATATCGACCACGTCCATTTCCATGTCCATAACCACCACGTCCATTTCCATGTCCATAACCACCACGTCCATTTCCATGTCCATAACGACCACGTCCATATCCATGACCATTATGTCTTCCACGATCGTAGTACCCATTTAACAATTCCGCATCACTATCTGTTTCGTCATCGTCATCGTCACCAACTTTTATGTTGGGACCAGATGTTCCTACAACAGAACAAAATATCATGTTAGAAGAGAATTGGTGACCGACGGAAAACCATGAGATGTGTAGGCACTGTGAAATCAATGTGTATGTGAGTGTGATTGTGTGAGTGCGTGTGTCAGTGTATGATCAGTGTGTGACAGGATGCATGTGTTGATGGATAGGTGGATTGAAACTGGTTGGCCATCTGTGCAAATGCAGACTCGTTGACTGATGTTCTGTGAGATAACGATCTGTTGGAACGATCAGCACGCGCATTCATCATTTGATTTGCGACAGCCAATGTGAAAGTGATGTCTGTGTGAGAAGGTCACTCCACTCAATCGAATGATAAGTGTCAACTGTCATCACAATACATCACAGACGTCACTTGTTGCACAAGTATCTGATCTAGCACGATCTACTCAGCATACACTGAATGACACATGCTTGCACACTCACATTCCTTCCATATGATATAATTACACTTTGATGGTGCGAACCAGTCTCACGAGATAAGTGAAATGATGAAAGTGATCGGTCATACACAAAACAGTTTTCAGATTTGTTCTGGACGGCACAAGTCTAAACATTGTACCACACACACATACCTTGATCACTTTGATTCGGTTCGGCCAGTAGGTAGTTGAAGAAGAAGAGCACACTGATCAGTAGCAACACGACCAGCCTCATTATGGTATATCTGGAAGCAAGAGAAATGCAAACACGTGAGTGATGGTTGTGTTTGTGTGTTGTTTGATGCAATCAATTGTGTGTGGTTTGTGGTGGACTGGATGGTGATTTCCGTCCAACTCACAATAACCATCATCATCATCATCATCATCGACATCATCACCACTGACTCACCTGATTCCACAAGTCTTGTTCAAGGAAGTTTCGAGATTGAAGTAGACCATGTTGCAAATGTATTTATAGTGTAATTTTGTGCATGTCAGATTGAATGCAAGCGTCACATGACAATGTGATTCAAACGAATCAATCCTGATGTTGATTGTCACAGTCACGTTGAACTGGTGTAAACGTGACATTCACTGTTTGCTGCAGCTCACGATGCTCAACAAACATGCATTATTGATGTGGATTAGTGGTGTTCGTTTTGTGATAGAGAGTAGAGAGATTTTGAATGTAAGATATTGAAATGAAGTTGAGCATTGTACTGAAGTGGTGAATAGTACATGTACTTTTGTGCGTTTTACAATAATTTACTATAATCGTCTCACCTACTCTGTTTTGTTCGGTGTTTTATGCTGGTGTATTCTATTGCCGATATGTTAGTAGGTTTTGTGGCCAGTGAGTAATGGATGGATTAATTAATTGAGTAGACGATTGACTATGCGTTGTTGTAGTAGTGAATGTTGTCGCGGAGGTTGATTTTGGTCATAATATTTGTGCGTTGACATGCATTCCGAATGTCAGGTTCAGTTTTAATTACCTGTTGCGTATTGATTATTTTGATCGATGTTCACTGATATAATTTTGACAATACTACTCATGAATAATAGATTTAGATCAATGAAGCAATTACGATCGAACAAACAGCAGTAACTTTGACCGGTCTGAAATTACTAGGTTTCAACAGTATAATTTGGTTCGGCAAATACAGTACTGGAACTACAAATTAACATAATGTATATAATTACCTAATCTATTCCATGATGATCATTGACTTATAAATTCCCCCGATTTGTTGGTCACTTTCATATCACCTGTTGTACACATTCGAATGAATTATACCGCTCAAACTCAGTGATTTAATATCGGTCAGATAATTGCTGTTTTGGCGATCGTCATTGGCTGATTGGTCTCACGGACAAGGCAAATATCACATTAGTAACTGGTCAGCGATTAGTCGATTTGGGTATCCTAATGGATTTCAGAATAAATGAAGTTAGGACCAAGCAAGCAATAACTATCATACAGAGAGGAGTAACTTTGACCGATCTCAAATTATTAGGTTTGAACAGTATAATTTGGTTCGGCAAATACAGTACTGGAACTACAAATTTAGGCGGATATCATTGGTTTTCGTTTGACTGTCATGGAACTTTACTCCAATGTGCACAAATATTGATTAGAAAATGTTAAATCAATCAGGACAACTAATAACTCCATGATCACAATGAAATAGATTACGTAACTCTATATATTATGTAAAAGTACAAATTGATATTATGAATCGAGGTGTACTATTATTGATTAGAACAGTAAATAACAAAGTTCTAGTCAATAGTTCAACGTTGAAAGTAGTGGGTGGAACTCGGATAAATAGACTTGATATAGTACCCACAAAGTGTTATTCAAATCACGTTGTAAGAGGTGTGTAAACAGGGCGACAGTGAAGGATATAATCAGAGTGTTGAAATGTGACAGACTAATCAGACATATCAAAATAAATAACATCAATAATAATGATAACAATGTGTAAGGATATTCATCCAATATGTTAAAATATTTGTTTGTGACTCTTAATCTAATGGTCAATTCCTATTGGTCTTCCTAACTGTTTCCTACTCGACCTAACTGTGTAGTGTGCCTATAACTGCGTGTTCTTATAGCTCGATTTATAAATCAGAAGATTAACTCCAAGTATCGTATACATTTATTCGAGGCACACCACATACAGACTGAGCAGATACACTAGCGAGCGAATGAGCGAAGAGGAGAAG